CTTTTACTTTCCTCTTGTTCCACTATCATGCTCAGCCTTCATTTGAGCCACCATAATTTAATACACAGTCCCATAGTGCTGATCAGTGAATTTCCCAGACATTTATGATGAGAGGAGAGGAGAACATATGGGGGCTCCTCTCATCATATCTTTCTCTTAGAAGAAGACTTCTATTGATGGGGAAACTAGAGAACAATTAGTAAAGCAAACCAACCATCAAAAAACAAAAAGAAAGAAAGAAATACTTAACATACTTGTTGGTAGTTCCCCAGTGAGAGAATCTGCCCTGTCTTATGTTCCTAATCATGTGTTTTTACCTGAATGTCTTTTCTACCGTTAGTGATCCAGGCTTCCTGGAAGGTCACATCAGAAAGACTCAACTGAAACTATATTAAAATGAATAGAATTTACCTTAAACACATTCATTGTAGATTTAAGAAACTGAAACACTTCTGTGGACTTAAAGCTGTAACATCTTAGTGTGGGCATAAGCAGGCAATGGATATCCCAAGATTGTGGACTTGGAAATGATTAGTTTTTATTTAAATCTATATTGCTACCAAGGTTGTCCAATAATTGGTGTTGTAGGTTACACATTGGGCTGCTAACCACAAGGCCAATAGTTTGAAATCACTAGTTGCTCCATGGTCGGAAGATGAGGCTTTCTATGCCTGTAGAGATCCAGTTTCAGAAACCCACAAGGGCAGTTCTACCCCATCTTATAGGGTTGCTATGAGTTGGAAATGACTCAATGGCAGTGAGTTTTGTTATATTCTTTGCTTATTATTTGTCTTAGTTTCTGCAGCCCAATAAATTTGATCTAGTGAGTGAAGGTTATTAAAATTCTTGTCTCATGTCATCTAACCCTAATTGTTTTCTTAATTAGTGTTTGGTCACTTAAGTTTCACTAATTTGCATAAGTGAACCTTTCTACATATTTTAACCTATTAGAATTTAATTATATACATATATACATATTTTTCCTTTTATCATTAGCATTTTAAATGTATACTATTGGTTAGATTAACGATCCTATATTATTAGAATTATCAAACATCCCATGGAAGTCATTTATAATACTTTTTTCTCAGGAAACTAATGTCACCTTTGAATTAGACCATAGATACACAAACCATAAATATATGAATGGATTTTGAGCTGGCATCTTAAGGTGTAAGCCCTAATCTGAGGACAATGAGTCTTATAATGTGGCTCTAGCTTGATACTTACTCTGATAAGATGATCATTGAAGATATATATGCTATATCGTAAACTATGGTGAAGAAATCTGGTAGTGTCTGGTTATTGGAAAGAAGAACATCTGGGTCTTAAGGGCTTATCTTGAAAACAAGTGGCCAGGTCAGCCTCAAATCATGTGGCTTCATGATTGAAGCATATTTTATTAAATCTTTGCTCTGCTTACTGTCTTATCTTAATGTCCTTTGTGTGCGTGGCTCTATTGTGATGGCAAACCACTGGGGAGAAACTTTCTAGCTTTTCTCTGAGGAAGAAAAGCCTAGCAACATGGATTTTCCATACATAACATTTAGGGGTTGGTTATTGTCCTCCAACAGAAGTAAGTCACGCCAGGAGTTCTTGGACTTTCCATATTTATTTGTTTGGGGGAGTGTCTCTTTGTCCTCTTTTGGATTTTCAGGTCTAGCTCTGCTTTTCTGGGTCTGGGAGGTTTTTTTCTCTTCGGGTTGAAGACTAGCAGCACTTTCTCCATCTTCATGAGGTAGCTGAATGACTGATTTAGTCATGCAGTAGCTATACAGGATAATCACTCATTAAAAATAATCTTTTGAGTCCACCTACTTGTGGTTTGAAGAATAGACAGGAAGGATGAGTCCAGAGGTTGTGAAACAGTTGGTCACTGATGGCCTGTGCCCCTCACCTAGTAGAGGAGAGTAGATTCAGAGACACAAAGGCAAGTCATATGGGGGAAGCCCTTGTTGCACTGCAATCAGCGCATACCAACCCTCCACAAGGAATATTCAACCTTTTCTGTTTGTTGGCTCTGGACTTTTAGGGCATGTCTCCTGCTTTCTTTTGTCTCGTCTTATCTCCTTCAGGCTTCATAGGCTTGCTCTACAGGAGACATAAAAAGGCCTGCTACTCTCTTCTGTGAATTTTGCAATTGTGTCCCTGAATCTTAAAAAGCTATTATTTAAAATATGAATTACTGTATCCTAGGGCACAATAGCAGAAGGTTTGGGGACACAAGACTCCAATTAGGGGTAAACCTTTAAGAGGCAAACAAACAAATGTCAAGGTTAGAAATCTCAGAATTGAGGGTTATAAAACTTTCAAGAGGCTGTGTTTACATCTTATTGTTGGCCTAACCTTGCTTAAAGGACAAAAGGTATAGAGAGTGGATGGAGGGCACGATGAAAAGGTTGATTTCCACTCAGTATTTTTCACCGTGGGCTATGGAGGCTCCACCTAGGAAGGTGGTGAGACCCTTCCTGGTAAAGCCATAGATCTCTGAAAGGGGACCCCACCAAAGTAGCTCCATTTTGTATTAGGTTCTCTGACCTGGGATGCCAGAGGCCACAGAATTAACCCACTTTCATGTCTTCTTGTTTTAGATATAGCAAGGCTACTGAAGAATTGAAAAAAACCCTAGCTTGTCCCTAAACAATTTGAAGTTTCTTTTTCTTTCTTTCTTTTACAAGAAGTTTTCTTTTGTATCATCTCCTGTCCCATGTATGAAATAGGAGATATCGAGGCTGGCCAGGCTGGCTAGAGAATGAGATGGGTGCTAGACCCGGGGGGGGGGGGGGGGGGGGGGGGGTGGGGGGGGGGGGGGGGGGGGGGGGGGGAAGCACCATTCTTCATCATGAACCGGAGTTTAACCCAGGCAAAGATTACCTTGAAATTCTGCATTTTCTTTGTCCCAGCAATAAAATCTGGCCATGTCCCGAGGGCTAGAGGATTGTTATTAGAAAATTGTCTTCTCTTAATTTTAGCTTTATCTACAATTTGAACTATTCCTCTAACTGTAAGGTCTGGTTGGGATAGAGCGGAAGGTCTAGTTAGGATAGAACTATTTTCTTTGTCTGTGAAACTGGATTTCTTCAGTGTTTCCCTGTCTTAAAAACAAGTGGCAGTTTCCTTTAACTTGTTCTGAATGTGAAGACTGTTTCTGTCCTTTTTCCTTGCATTGAGAATGTTGCATGTGTGTGAAATGGAGAAAATAATATTTGATTTGAGTGCATTAAAATGGATTGAGTTGACTGTACCCTTCGATGTAGCCAAGCTATATGAGTGGAGCCTGTTTAATTTCTTTTAAAAAAATTAAGTAGCTTTGTCTCTTTTCCCGAGATGGCAACTGTTGGGTCAGGTACTGATCGGGGGACATTAGGAACAGCCTGACCTGCCCTTATAGGACCAAGACGGCTAGCTTCAAAAGGGCCCTCCTTAGGACAATGAGCTGTCTCCTCGGCAGAAGGCAGAAGGATCAAGGCACCACCCTACCTTGGAATTTCATGGATGGAGACAGCTTAAGCCCCTGCAGCTGCAACTTCTATCCCCTCCCTCCTTGTTTACCCACCTGCAGTTTCTACCCCCTCCCTTTCTTGTTAACCCTCCTGACTAGCTTAAAAACTTGCTCTCCACCACAGATAGGCCAGACTTCTCAGGCCCCCACTAGGGGCCCATGAAGCTCTCCTGTGAGTTTAGGGCTCCTGTTTCTCTTTCTCTGCTCTCCCCTCTCTCCCCGGCAGCGGACTTCACTGGCTCAGTGCTGGAGCCTGTGAGTCTCGCCCAGAAGCGCAGAATAAACTTCTCCTTTTCCTTCTCTTGGGCCTGGCCTCAGTTTATCTTTGCAGTGAACATAATAGCAACCACCAGGATGCCACAAGTGTTTTCCTCCATAGACTAAAATCAGCCCCGTTATGTAAATACTTTCTGACTTTAGATAGTTTCCAGTCCAGGTTCTTTCTTCTTCTATGGTTTTATTTGTTCTTAATATGACAGTCCTTTTAAAAAGAGTGCACCACTGAGAAACCTATTTTTTTTATATGACAAGACCTTTGTAATTATATTTATATAATTCTTACCTCTGGATGGTAATATCATTTAAAAAATATATGTGTATTTTTTTCTTTTTTAAGAGCACAGTTTTTTATTTTATTACATGTATATGCTTGTGAATTTGTTGATTGTATGACAAATGTGTGCTTATAAATGAAATTTTTAAAAATTAAATTATGAAGAATAAATGAAATGATTCATTTTAACAGGTTTTAGTTTGTATATATTAACCTTAGAATCTAGACATCTACAAGTGATTTACATATAGAATGATATTTCTCCAAAGAAGGGATTTTAGAGGAAAAAAGTTTATCTGAATTGTTCAGCCCAAGCTGATGCAGATATTCAAATGATGAGTGTTTGCTCTAGCTGATTCTCAGTTGAAATGACTGGGTGGCACAGTAAGTCAAGCTGCTGACCGAAACATGGTAGTTTGAACAAGAATGGCCAAGGGCAAAAAGATCAGCCAGTTGACTTCAGTTGCCTATTACAATCACAAATACTCTGCAAAGAAGTTTCTGGTCTATCCTAAGAGGTTGCTAAGTCAGAATCAACTTAATGACCAGGATTTTGTTAAGTAGAAATGTAGGCATTTTAAGAATCTAAGGATGCTAAATCTAGAAGAAATAAGAAAAAAAATTAAAAGTAATTAAATTTTATTTTAGTAGTATCATGTGGTTCACAAATAATTTAGAATATTTCAAGCAGTTTGCTGATAATAGAAGTTCATATTTTTGAAAGATACCTATATTCAAGTCTGCTAAATACTGTGTATATTTTAATTCCTTTTATTTTTCCTAATTTTAAAAGTATATTATAAGAGATAAATAAGATAATAATATGTAAGGACAAAGTTTGAAGAACTCATTAATGATCAATTTATTTGATATAATCTAAAACTTTAATCTTCTGACTCAAAGGTTAATTAATGGAAGTTTTTGAGGGGAGAGTATTAGTACTAAATATTATTAACAAAGAATTGGATTTTTGCCATTGGAGGGGAGAAGAACAATTGTTTTGATTACCAGTCTCAAAATAGAATACATTCTTTAGTCTCAAATCCAGTAGTAGATTTGATTTACAAAACTACCTGATCTTAAAAAAGTGTGTGTGTCGGGGGTGGGTGGGGTGTAGATGTTCCAATATTTCTCAGATCATTATTGACAAGTCAAAATTTAATGGAACATCACGTAACCTAAACCTACTTCTTATAGGTTTAGGGTAGCCTAACTGCGTACTATGTTTGCTTTGCTCCTCATGCCAACGCTCCTAGAATTATTTTTCACATGACTTTTTATATTGTTGTAGAAAAGATATAGTGTTTGGATAATCTGACCTTCAGGGCCATCTAAGACTATTCTATCCATAGGATCATTAAGATAGCCAAGGAGATTGTTCAAGCATCTTAAGCTTTGCTCTTATTGTTTTGTCTGATTGATTTGGTAGATATTTATATCTTGTGATTATCATTTTTAACTCAATATACTTTTTAATTATTTTGATTGCTAACTTGTTTCTTTCAAATCTATCCATTTACCTAAAAGTTGAATTAAGATACCTTTTAACTTGATGCTTTTTCAAATAAATGCATACCTTCCTTGATTTAAAATGTGTGCCATATTCAATTAGTAAAATATAACATTTTGGTGTGAGAACCCACGTGAAAGAATTTGGTACACTCTAGGCTACTAGATGAAAACACCATACAATGTTACAGGAGTGATAATATGTAGTACTAAATAGCAATAAAATCAGTCCTTAAGTAAGAGGAACTTAAAACCGTATAATATAACTGGTTTATAACACGATCAGTTCTAGTAAATGTTAATTATCAGATTAAGTAAATTTAGCCAGTAGAAGTAAAGCTGAGAAAGGATAGATCACTCCAAATATTCCTAACTGAGAACAATGACAGGTCTGGTACTTAAGTTCAGTGTTATATCTGAAACTTTATATTTTAAGCTCTTTCTTTTTGTCTAACATTCTTTCCAACTTTTAGTTCACCTTAGTTTTGCAACAGTTTGTAAATTTTCCCCACTTTATTCTTTCAAACAATATGTATATTTATATATATTACTATTGATTAGCCATGGCCGGATAAGGTCTTGTATCTACAGATAAGTGTTTGTGTTACAGGTCCGATAAGACATTTAAGCAAAACTTTTCTACAAAAATACTTACATTGGACTTATCAAAAGGACTAATATTCTGAACTTGGAGCCCATCAAACAGAATAAAGATTTCTAGAACTTTTAAATGTGACGTGGCTCATGAATTGCAGCTGATCTCAAAATATAATTTAGCTACTAAATAGATTATGTGATTATGTTCCTTTCAATTATTTATGTGAGACTATTGTGAGTATTTTAAAAGTGCCCTCTGTATGTAAATAACTACTTGTAAAGTGTTTACCATAATTTAATCTATTCAAGTGTGGGTCAAAAACTATTAACCCTGAACACTGCAGAATTCTATCTAATGCTAGGGTCTTGTCTCTTTAAAACATCAGCAGGGACACCTAGGAGCTTATTGAGTCTAGAAGTGGACTGCTATAGTCAGTAGTTCAAGATCACCTGTAGCTTCACAGGGAAAAGATGAGGCATGCTGCAATTTCTGAACAAGATCCACCGTAGAACTACCAAGAAGCAAACTGAGGCAGCTAAAAGAGCAGCTTGAGATTATATGCAGATGTGCCTTATTGAAAAGATGGAAGACATTCAGATTAAACCAATGAATTATTCTAAATTGATGGATGTCTCTTAAGGGAAAAGAGGAAAGCCGTACCCCCTTCAGGAGTCACTTAGAAGTTTACCAACTTTGATTCAGAATAAATCGAGGGGAAGACTGTTTTAAACAAAG